ATTCCAATCTTAGCTTCATTTTAATTGTTTTCGGAACGGTCTTAAGGATCCATCCAAGGTTTAAACGGTATTTTCTTTGTAGCTTTTTCCTCATATTTCCGCATAATATTGAGTGATTGTTCTATTTTTAAATGATGCATTAATTAATATTGACCCTAGATTAGTGGGGTCATAACCGTTTTTATAACACCGGGGATTCACTTCGAATCAATTGCGGTTCTTCTTAGTAACCGAGCAAAATGTTTTGACCCGTTATCGTTTAAAGTGACTAGAATTGCTCATATAAATATAACTCTTAAGATCTTCCTTCTATGGTCCATTTTCCTTTAAAGTTGATGTTAAACTATAAAGGAATGCTTGGTACTATTTTTCGTATAAATATTATGTTGAATTATTTTAATATTCATTCAAGTCACGAGCTTTACAAGCTTTGCAAGCTACAGGTTTTCTATTAAAGCTTTTTCTTAATTTATAAAATGAACTTCGCTAAGATTCTTTTCTTGGTTGTGGCGTGTTTTGCCGCCTTCTCAGTGACGTCAGCGAGTCCTAAATGGAAAATCTTTAAGAAAATTGTAAGTATTGTTTCTCTATTATTCATTAGTAACAATTAATACTATAAACTTGTATTAGTTATGTATGTTGCTTTATTTTACCGCAGATAATATATAAATAAAAAATTGTATTATTTTAAATTGAGAATAACGCCATCTAGTGAGTGGATTTTGAAAGTATTTTTGAATATCCCGTTTCTTAACTATTTATTATTCTTTCAGGAAAAATTTGGACGCAACGTTCGCAATGGAATCATAAAAGCAGGACCAGCTGTGCAAGTCGTCGGTCAAGCGTCGCAGATATACAAACAAGGGTAGACGAATATCAACCTTGTAGTGCAATAAAACTAATTTTAGAATGTAAAAATAACACTGCCAAATTGTATTTATAATTTAAGTCTACTTGAAATAAAACTTAGTATTATTGAAATAAGTTTTTTTTTAAATCAGCAATATTGGAACTTTTTTCTAACACATATTAAACCCATTTTCACTAGCGCTATAATCAAACAATTTAGATTACGTTGGACCGTTTATTTTGTGACCAAAACCGCTTCCATTGCCAAAACATTTACCTAGAAATTTAAATTAACATCAGTATACAATCTTACTAATATTATAAATGCGAAAGTTTAGATGGATGGATATTTGTTAGAGTTTGTAGCCTAAATGGCTGAATTATATACTAATATTTCCTTTAACCACACCAACTAAGCTCTAGGTTTGTGCTACGATATGGTTCACAGCGAATCGAATGGTGGGATTCGAACCCTCGATCGCAAGATCGGTAGTCCGTACCCTAAAACATAAGGTACTTAAGTGATAAGTAACTATCGCAACACCACTCCTACCTATTCTTTCTTATAAAAAATGGGAAGCGGATAGATATGACGGTAAAGGGAGCGCATAGGAAGGGGAAATATGTTTACATGCGTCCTTCAATCATTAAGACTAACCTACTGTCGAGTGTTATTAAGTGACAGGATTGGAGTAAAAAAGGCGCCAAAGGTCATTTTCGAAATAAGATTTATTCTACATCTGAAGTACATGTCTTTGATAGTTGAATTATCGGTTCAACTTCCAATTTCATGTCCAAATAATTTAATATTGATAGATAAAAAAATAACAATTCAAAGTCCGTCCCTGTACGTCGCGCAGTTCACAACGCGTGCAGTGACGTACAGGTCGACTGATAAGAGTTCATACTAGGTCATGTTGTTATCTAACAATGCTGTAAGGGGATCCCCTGCAAGATATAGTGATCACACGCAACTTTGTCTGCGCGGAGTAGACGGTCCAACCGTTTATTTCTGAGATATTCGGACATCAACAAGGAAAATTATGTATACTAATGTTATAAAGAGGAAAGATTTGTATTTTTGTATGTATTGAAATAACTCAAAGTGATAGACCAATTTCAAAAAATTCTACACCAATAAAAGCTACGTTATCAATGTAACACATGCTACGTTTATTTTTTTATTTTAACGCGAACGTACTCGCAAACAACAGCCAGTGATATATAATTTGTTTTCGATATTACATAAAGATACTGCAGTTAAAAAATGCACAAGTAAAAATGTTTAGTTGGAGCAGGAAATAACAGAACAAAGAAAGTATATTTCGAATAAAACTATTTATTATATATTCTTTAAAATTATACACGACCTACTCTTCATCGTCAACATCCTCTCCCCTGGCTATCTTCTGTGCCCTGGCTACCACATCCACTGCCGGTCCCGCGCTGATTATCGCGTCTCTAATATTCTGACCCGCTCTTTCCTGGAAAGGAAATACACAAGTTAATGTTACCAATATTGTACAAAATATTTACTGACAGATTTTCATATAATCTTATTTTACTAGCAGGTTTAAAAACCTGTAATAAAAGTAAAATGCGTTTGTTTAATAAAAATGTTATCACTGTTTAATTAAAGAAGGCATTGTAATGTTTCATTGTGATTTATAAAATGTCTAAAAATGGTTTGACCAATTTTGTGACTTCAGATCAAGAACAGTTTTTTTTGAGATTGAATGTGGATGGCTACAAAGGAAGAGGAAGACCGAAGAAAGTATGAATGGATTGTGTGAAAGAGGATATGCTTAAGAAAGGAGGAGGAAGAGCAGCACATACTGTGCCGACCCTCCGTAAGGGATAAGGGCAAGTGGATGATGATGAGATAAAGAAGAGTTTTTTTATGGAATTTTATTTTTATAGGTATAGTAATAAAATACATAATCAAAGCCGCTAAATTAGGGTGTTTGTAAATACAAGCTATACAAAAAACGAACTTCGTTATCTAACTAATGTAATAAATGCGAAGGTTAAGATAGACGGATGAATGTTTATTAGTGTTTGCAGCCTAAACGGCTGAGCAGATCTTGGTGAAATTTGACATAAATGTAGAGCATAGTCTGGAAGACTATATAGTCTACATACCTTTTTTTTTAATTATATCCACGTGAACGGAGTCGCGAAAGAAAGTGATAAAATAATTGGGATTAATAACGGACAAAATTACGAGATAATATAAAAAAACGGCTAGCATAATGTAATTATATAGGTACAGATAGTTGCAGAAGTATTTTATATTTCAAATTTAAATTTAATTTTAATAGAAGAATTATTTAAATTTTGTTAAAAACTCACCAATTCTTTGAATGGATTCCAAGGTATCGGTTCCGCGGACACATAGCTAACTGCCATGACCGTTATCACGACAAGAAAAATGATTGTAACGAATTTCATTATGTTATTGATTGTACGAGACACTTTAAAATCTGCAAAAGCTTCTCTGATGCTGCTTTTAGTCTTAACCAGGTATATATACTGGGATAAACAAATTTATATCTGCCGTAAGTTAGTTATTTAATGCAAATAATGTACTTTGCGTTAATAATAATAAAGTTGCATTTAATAAATCAATCAATAATAACATATAGTTGTAACTTTCAAGAAATAAAGACGTTATGATATAAAGAGGGAAGTCCCTTATATTATTCACTAGCTGTTGCTCGCGACATCGTCCACGTGGAATTGAAACATATAATAAATACAGCCTATGTTACTCAGCGATAACGTGGCTTTTAAATGGTGAAAAAAAAATGAAATCAGCCCAGTAGCTTTTGAGTTATTCATACATATTCATATATCATTTAGTGTAGACTAGTTGTTGCTCGCGACTACGTCCTTGTGAAATTAACAAATAAGCATATAACCTATATTACTCACTGAAATCTTAGCTTTTAAATAGTGCAAGAAATTTTGAAATCGGTCCAGTAGTTTTTCAGTTATTTTAATACATACAAAAATACAAATCTTTCCTCTTTATAATATCGTCAGTAGTGTTAGTTATAAGTATAGATAATATGCTTTATTGTTCATGTTAATGCAGAACATAAAATTAATTAATTACTATATTAATTTATTAACTCGTGTGAATGGTAGTTTGATCGTTTTAATTAAACTAGCTTACGTCAGCGACACCAACCGCGTCAAATAAAAAAAACAAGAGTAAGTGGCCTATGTGTTCTTCTAGAATAATCTCTACATCTATGCCCGTCATTGATATCCAAGCAAACGTCCATCCATCTAAACTTTCGCATTTTTAGCTAATGTAAGATTGGTCCGTGGTCAAGAAATTGAGATGAAAGAGGTTAGCGTGGTATGGACATATTATGCAACAGGGTGCGGACATAAACAAGAAAGTGTTAAGATTGAACATGGATGGCTACAAAGGTACTGGAAGACCGAAAGTATGGATGGATGAAAGAGGATATGCTTAACTTAATATAACGGCTGATAGAGATGTATGGAAGAACATCACTGTACCGACCCTCCGTAGGAATAAGGCCAAGATAATGATTAGTAAAATTTTACTTTTTTCAAATAGAAAGTTCCTATAAATTTTTTATCACGGTTGTATAAAATGCATTTAACAGAACCAGTCCTATTGGAACTGTTAAATGCTGTTCTAAATATAGAGGACCGTGATGTATTTTTTTTTAATTCCTGTTTTTTCTCTGCGGTTTTTAACAGTTTTCAAATTTATCATAACGATCGGGTCTTTACTCTTCACGATACCGTCGGGGGTTCCCTACGTCGGGGCATCAACTTAGAAGTTGCTAAAGTATTTAGACACTTAACACTCAGGAAATAAAGTTGAAAATATTCTTTATAATATTAATGCAACTGCATTGTACAGTTAAGGTTTTTAGTATATAAAGGCGAGTTCTCGTGGAAAAGCTTTATTCAGTTTCTAAGCTTAGAAGTTGCAACTTTATAATAAACTTATATTTTCAAGATGAATTTTAACAAAATCTTAAGTTTCGTGTTTGTTTTAATGGCGGCTTTGAGTTGCGTTTTCGCTGCTCCGGATCCAAGATGGAATCCTTTTAAGAAATTGGTAAGTTAAAGTTAGACTTAAGTATTGTATGATTTTTTTTTCTAAACTTGTGTCTTTTACGACTATTCACTTGTGTCGTTAATTTAATGGTAAATTTAATCATACTAATATTATAAATGCGACAGTTTTGATGGATGTTTGTTAAAGTTTGTAGCCTAAACGGCTGAACAGATCTGGATGAAATTTGGCGTAGATGGAAATTATAGTCTGGAAGAACACATAGGCTAGGTTTTTGGTACTAGCTACTACGTAGACGAAGTCACGGGAAAACGCTAGTTAGATTATAATCGTAGTAACACATTTTAAGGCCAATATTGCATATTGAATTAAAATTAACTTTTAGCTTGTATATTAATAAAAAAATAAATTATACGACAGGAAAATGAAAATGAATAAATAAATACGTGATTCCCGATTCAAAAAATCGTAGTTAAAGTTACTCCGTTTCTTTTCGTAAAATACGTGAATTTAATTTATACATTACTAGCTTTCGCCCGCGCCTCCGTCCGCGTTTAATTAAAAAAAATCAAAAGTAAGTCGCTTATGTGTTCTTCCAGACTATCCTCTACATCTGTACTAAATTTCATCGATATCTGTTCTGCCGTTTACTCTATAAACTGAAACAAACAACCATCTAAACTTTCGCATTTATAATATTAGTAAGAAGTTTGATTAACAAATGTAATAGACGAAGAACACAAAAGCTACTTTCTTTTGTTTTTTTTTAATTCTTCGCGGACAGAGTCGCGAGCAAACGCTACTTATTAATACAAGATTTTAAACATTATTACAACAATAAATTGTTTTTTACAGGAGAGAGTGGGGCAGAATATTCGCGACGGTATAATCAAAGCAGGTCCGGCAGTCGCTGTTGTGGGGCAAGCGGCATCCATAATCAAACCTGGAAAGTGACGTCACCAAAGTTCTTCGAGAGAAATGAGGCTGTTATAAGATCTGTATTATTTATAATTTAGTTTAATGGTACTTAATAAATACTTTAAAATTAATCCTGTATTTTTCATTGATTAAGAGCAGGCGTCTCCTTTGACTAAACTATCGCACAACTGTTGTGCGATTGTCGATTGTTTTGCAGCCAAATCAACCGTTTAGTTGCACACAAAAATCGATTAGTGTGTCCACCTCCACATAAGCTCATGGGAATCATAGCGCGACTAAACAGTTCTGCGATAGTTTAGTCAAAGATGTGCGCGCTCTAAGAATGCAAATACAACCTATCTACAAACATCTGTATAAAAACATCGTTTGCTATTAAATAAAAGATAACCGACATCTATGTATAGATGTACGAGAATTGCTTTCACTTGTTTACGCGGAATAATATATTTTATGTACAAATTGAGACGAGTAAATAAATCTTTTGTTACAAAACAACTACGTTTTCATTTTCCATTACAAAAAAGGATATTGTTCCTTCAGTCTCCACAAAAACTACTATCAGATTTTCGACATCAATGACTATAGGAAAGAGGACTAGGCACAGCCACTTGTTAGTGCACACTTTTCGGGGTGTTAGCTAAATACCATACGTCTGCATCTCAACGAGAAATTTAATTAATGTAAATATTTTTATGAGCGCTTATTAATCTAAACATTGCATAAAAAAGTAAACAAATCATCGTTCTATTTTATTTGGAAGATAGAAATGCGTGCGTTTGACTGATCCTGTCTCTCAAAAGTCAATGTTGAGGAACAATGCGTCTTGTAAATGTTACTAAAGTGGTTTGATATTTATCGTCTGTGTATATTTTCATTTTATAAGATTTATTACTTTCTGTTTTTATTTCATTCAAATGACGATTGGTGGTGCTGTTTACGTGTAATCTACATGTCTGTTTTTGATCCCTGTTTTTCATACTAACATTTACTTGATAAGTGAGTACTCTTTATGTTATTCCAGAGTATGCTCTACATCTATTCCAAATTTCATTCAGATCCGTTAAGCTGTTCAGGCTACAAACTCTCACAAACATCTATCCATTAGCTCAACCATTGCACAATGGTCCAACGTGGTTGAAGCGTATTCGATGACGATTTTTGTTTCAAAACCTTATTCAGCGTAATATGTACATTCATCTTTATTTTTTACAGCATAAGAGATAATCTTGTCTAAATGCCTTGGATTAATTGATAGAACATTGTTAAAGAAAAGGCAAAAATTCAAAATATAGCTTTATTTCAACACACACTTAGATTTAGATTTAAAAATACAATTATAATAAATTTCAAACGAAATTATTTATTAACTGCACGACAATTGTATCTTTCAATATAACAAAAAACACATATAACTTACAAGCAGATCGATATTGATTATTCATGTAAACATGTAATAAACAATTTCACAATACATTTTTAAAATAAAATATCACAGTGAACATTTTTTTATAGGATTACCAAAGAGCAAATGGCCATAACATATTTCTAAAATAGGATGATTACCGCTGCCTACGAGTATATACAGCTGCAGCAATTTTAACATAAATTTGGATGGCTACAAAGAGGAACACCGAAGAAAGTATAGATGGATTGTGTGAACGAGGATATTTCTAATGGAGTGGATTCAGATATGACGACTGATAGAAATGTGGGAGAATGGAAGAGCACATACTGTGCTGACCCTCCACAGTCAAGTTGATGATGATGCCAAAATGTTTTATTTTCCAGGTCTAACGATAGATGCAGCTTGTCCCACAACAGCGACTGCCGGACCCGCTTTGATTATACCGTCGCGAATGTTTTGTCCTACTCGTTCCTGAAACAAAAGAAATAACATTGTTAAAATTACTTAATAAATTCTTACATATAGGTTTACTGACAGACAGATCGATTAAAATGAGATATTTTTTTTATAATATAGGATAGCAAAGGAGCAAGCGGCCACCTAAATCCAACGAAATGGAAAGCGACCGCTGCCCATAAACATCCGCAATTGCAGATGCGTTGCCTACCCTTGATTGACAGAGAGACGCACATAAAGAGGACATTTCCCCTTCCTATGCGTCTCCTCCACCGTCAAATTCACTTTTCCCATCAGTGGTGAGATAGGCCCTAAATAGTTTAAATTGTTTTGGCACAATGTATTCTTTCTATTCAATAGGAATATGAACTAATAGTGGGCTTTCATTGCCGAAAAAGATGTACAAAAACATACCGGTTTCCATCTTATTCTCTTAAAAATATAAATGTAATTGCGTAAATTTTTTTTGGTACAATCTAACGATCTACGAATTTAATTATAGATTTAAAAATGTTTTAATGTTGTTTATTCAAATACTATTTAATTACCTAAATAGTAACATGTTTAATCTAAGTAATTCTAAGTGACTTACTAATTTCTTAAAAGGATTCCATCTTGGGTCTGGAGCGGCGATAACGCAACTCAGAGCAGCAAATAAAACAAATACGAAACTTAATAACTTGTTGAAATTCATTTTGTAACTTAGATGCTTGAATCGTAGCTTAATTCTCGATAGCTAATGATGCTTTTAGGTTACAACGTTCAGTTATATAGTTCCCAACTGGCTGGTATAGTAAGACTTTAACAGAGAATAAATTCAATTTTGAACTTTATTTCGTCACTGTTAAGTGTGAATTAAGTTAACTCCAAATTAATGGAGCGTAAAGTTATCGAAGTTGTGGAACAGAGTGGGGTTAGGAAACTCCCTAGGCAACTTAGCCGGTACGTCCCCGATCCTCTCAATTGGTATCGAGACTTATTAAATTTAATAATTTTTATTATTATCTATACACTAGATGTTCTCGTGCGGCTTCGTCCGCGTGAAATTATAAAAACTTGAGGTTATTCCAATTGTCAATTGGAAATGTCGATTACCGTTACTATATTAACCTTGCTTCCTTAATGTTGGCAGCTTGTAGTATTTACCCCTAAGTTTAATAGCGTTAAAATATATAGCCTAAAGCGTGTCGTAAGAGTAGTGCTTTTTATTAATGAAAGCATTATTCAAAAATCTGCTTTGATTGCTGACATCTTGCGAAGTAGTGTGTGTTTACGCTTTATTATATTAGTAAAGAAGTATAGATAAAGATAATTGTTATAATAGAGATTCCAATATAATATTAAAATAATTGTCCCTTGCGGCTTCATCCGTATGTCGTTATAAATATTTTTTATTGTTTACATTTGTAGAACTTTCAAATGCAAATATCAGAATTACAACGTGCAAATTACATATTTTAGCCATTGCATAACGACTTTTGCCATCATGGCAATATGGCTTCTTTGCTGCTATCGGTTTGTTTTTTTATTCCTTTCCCGCAGAACATTTTTTCCAATCATGACCGTAGCCTGAAATATATTAAATCTATTTCACTTTGCCTGTTTCCAAAAATGTAGTGTTAAATTATTCTATTTCAAATGTAAGTTTTTTTACTAAGAACTATAAAATGTCAACACCAACACGTTGATCTAAGGTCATTAGGTTCAAAGTTATTAACTTCAAAATACTCTGATAAGAATGAAACAGTTTGCGGTACATCCCTATTAAAACAATGATAATAATGCAGTAATAAATTTAATAGTACAACTTTAACCTATAAGAACAAGGTTCATTTTTCTTCTTTTATTATTTTAATAGCTGCAGATTATAATTTTGTATAATTAATTTTATAAATACATTTGAATTGAAGATTTACGATCATTCCCTTTGTCTGTTAAAGATCGAATTGTGTTTAAAAATGAAACTGCTAAGAATTTTAGTTTTCTTTTTAATAATTGCAATGACTTCAAGTTATGCATCCGCTGGTAAAAGACCGTGGAATCCTTTTGAGGAATTAGTGAGTAATTTTTAATTATGTCTTTGTCACTGCCTTTTGTCAGCGACTCCGTCTGCGTGAATTTAAAAACAAAAGCATATGTGTTCTTCCAGACATGCTCTACATCTATGTCCAATTTCATCGAGATTCGTGGAACCGTATCGTAGTTACCTACAAAAAAAGATCCATTCATCCATCGATCCATCTAAATTTTTTATTATTATTATTAAACGAATACATAATACTAATTATACCGTAATCCATGGCTTTGTTACTTTGGGTAAATAGTAAGAAAAAATAATGAAAAAATAAACATATTTTATTAATCAATATGTAACGTAAAAAATACTACAATCATTTTATTGCCATCGTTTAATTTTGTTAATATCTGAATTAGTATTATTTTCCTTGATTTGGCTTGACGATGGACGCAGCTTGGCCGATCACCTCGATTGCTGGTCCTGCTTTGATGATGCCGTCGCGGATGTTTTGGCCTACCTTTTCCTGCAATAAAAAACAAAACATTGTATTTAAATCTTAATATTATATTCTGCTGTTACTTTACATGAGTAGTACATCATCTAAAATAATAATAAAATGTCAAGAAAAACAAAAGGCGCCTTTTAAAACATGATAAGCAAATTTTCATAAATACATTTTATTCATTTAAATAGGAATTCCTTACAATATTTTTGACTGATGTAATTAAAATTTGTCCACAGATGAAGAAACCGAGAGGAATAAAGAAGAAGACTCATTAATTAATGGGTTATACTGCACTTGTTGCAATAAAATAATTACCTACTAAAGTTATGTTTATAACAATGTTTAAATAAATATATTTAAATTGTCTCTCTCTAGCTATTATCGAGCACAAAGTATAATGTACAAATTACCCTAATATCTGCTATTCTTAAGTTCAAAAACCAATGGAATTCCAAGAAAATCTTTTATTTGAATTTATATAAATTGTCTTAAAACTTTCTTATCTAAAAAATAAATGTATTTTTATAGTAGGTTAAGATTCTAGTTACTTTTTATTTGGTTACTAGCAAAATATAGTTGATTTACCCTTCGTTGTAATAAAAATCAAATGTAATGTTCGTAAGATACGGGTTTCTTACCACAAGCTAAGTCAGCCCGTGAACATGGCGCATGCAACTGTGCCGAAATATCGGGAGCTAATACAATTCAATCGTGGTAAGAAACCCGTATCTTACTAGCATTATATTTATAAAAACCACAACAGTTTAAAGTTATATAAAAATCAATTACATACCAATTTCTTAAATGGATTCCATCTCGGTTCTGGAGCACCAATAACGCTACTAAAAGTTGTAAAGAAAACGAATACAAAACATAGAATAATGTTAAAATTCATTTTAAAGTTGTTTTAAACTTAGATAAGTTGCAATAAAGGTCCTAGTATTCAATGAACAGATTGCAAGTAAGCTTGCTTTTATATTACAGTTTTTCAATACATTTACACGCGAGATGTATTAAAGAGTTACATTCAAATTTCAACGTTATGTTCATGATGTTAGGGTTGATAAATTTATTCAATAGATTTCAAACTAGGCAGGTGTAAAAGAAAGTAGGACTTAGGTGATTCCCAACCCTAGCTATAAGTGAATCCCCGCAAAACTAATTATTTTGTAATTCCTGAAATTCTACTAATCACCCGCATCTTTACGAAGAGAATAATTTTATATTTTCCTCTTAACTTGTCATTTTATTTCACATTTTAATTTGTGTTTAATTTTAATATTTACTGATACGAGATTCACAGAAGGCTCTTATTGGAAAATAACTTAAGTGTAAATAGAAATCAGTTTAATTTGGGCAGGCGCCTGTCATAATATAATAGTTATAGTATTCGTTTTTGTATATCTGCATCTTCGTTCTTTTACTGCAAGGCGAAAAAATAATTTATTGAGTTCGTCAAATAATATATGTTCCCCACTTATTGGTTTAAAATCTACGTTAAGGTGAAAAACAGCTTTAAACAATCTTATTTAAGTGACAAAAACTAACAATGTTTTAGAATCAGGAAATATCGAGAAAAAATGTTTAGAAACATATTTATTTCTTTCCAGTTATGAAAGTTGACGTCTTGTTAGAAAATAATTACACCAGAGACTCCCCGAGCTAATGTAACTATTGTTTCAATGGAATTTTATTTGTATTCTTAGAGAATAATGTTGATAGCGAAATCATACATTTTTAACGCATTTATGGACAAACATAACTTAGAATTTAAACTTTTTTAATGTTACAAAAACACATATTCCTATTAACTTTTGTTTTTCAATTACACGCGACACGATAGCTAGTTTTTTTTTTTAAAGTAATTGATTTTACATTTATAAGAATCCTTTCAAAGCTTTTTTACATGTTATGAAATTATAATAAAAAAGTTAAGGATAAAAACTTGAGTATAGTTAAAATAGCTTATCGAAAACTATAAACCAAGAAGTTGAAACTACATCTTACAAGTAACAGACACAAAACGATTGCTAAATTAACTTTTCGAAACAATACTCTATTTCATCAAAGAACATTTTACTCTTTCAATAAACGAAAAGGTCGAACTTCCCTTGAGATATCACTTTAATAAAATACACTATAAAACATTTATTTATAAAGACTTTGAGATGATGTAAGAAATAACAATTGTAGTATTTTTAAGGAACACGAAGTAATACAAATTATGTCAAGGATTTTTATATTTATCATGCAAGGTTACATATTTGCTATTTATTTCTATCAGGCTTTAGAATTAACTACTTAGATGTTAGCGACTTTCTTTTATTTCGCAGATTAATTTGTTTTTTCTTAACAAAAACGTATACTCGTAATTCTAACATTAATTAAAGCTAAATTACATGTCAAGTAATGTCCTATAGTACAATGTTTATGTCACGTAATTTTTATAGCATAACAAAATTCCCTGAAAATATAACTGCCTAATATTTTACTTATTTTATACGAAAGTAAACGCGAAAGATGCTTGTTTTATCCAGAACTAGATATCGACTTATTAAGGTCTTTCATACATCTATGCAAAATATCGAAATCCGTTCAGCCGTTTAGGCGGTAACTAAGAGACATCCATCCATCGATTTAATTCTTCGCATATATAACATTTGTAGGATTTATAAACATTTAAATATGATTTTTCTAAGAAACAATGAATTTACAAAACCATTTTTAATCTTTTTTTTTATAACATAAGGTGGCAAACGAGCAAGCGTTCTCTAGAATCCGCCAAAATGGTGAAGTGACCGCTGCCCATAGACATCCGCAATTGCAGTCGCGTTGCCTACCCTTATACGACGGAGGAGGAGACGCACATAAAAAGGATATTTCCCCTTCCTATGCATCTCCTCCACCTTCAAATCCACTTCCCCTTCCCAACCTCTTCTTATAAGAAAAGGATGATAAAGTTAAAGGGACTTAAATTAGGCCTCTAGCGCCACACTCATCAGACGAAACACGGAATTGCTTCCATTTCACGCCTGTCTTCTGTATGGTCGTGGTATTACACCGGGCGTGCCGGCCCTGCAGTGCTAAGATGTTAAAGCGCTCTACCACTGATCGATATTTGTTCAGCCGTTTAGGCGGTAACTAAGAGACATCCATCCATTTAATTCTTCGCATTTTTAACATTAGTAGGATCAACATTTAAATATGATCTTTCTAAAAACAATAAATTTATAAAACCATTTTTTTTATCTTATCGATAAAATACTTCATACATACAATAAGACGTAAATTTCAAATCCTTATCTTTATATGCTATTAAATGTTCCCGTAATTTAAAAAGTAATAAAGAACCGCAATTTAACATACGAAGGCAGTTTATCCCAGCCGAGTTACGTTTGACTTTATAGCTTTTTAATTCAATAACTTTGTTATTTATGTTTAATCTTCATTATTTTTCATGCTGCTTAGAGAATATCTTGTCGGGTTTTTAATTTGTTTGTGTAAGTTTATTTTTTCATATAAAAATATAACAAGAAACAATTAAGATTGTCAGAATTTGAGGTGCAATCTAGATCTATACTTGATATTATAAAAGAGAAAGATTTGTATTTTTGCATGTATTGAAATAACTTAAAAACTACTTGGTCGATTTCAAAAATTCTTTCACCATTAAAAAGCTACGTTTTCAGATTGTAACATGGGATATTTTTTTATTATTTTTTTTAATTTCACGGGGTTAAGTCGTAAGCAACAGCTAGTATAGTATCAATTGTTACTCATAATGTTACATTTTTAAACTTCAAACTCTTTATTGAACTATTTTCTTTGTCAATTTCTAGTAAATTACGCGATGTAGATTTTCTTCTAATCTCTGTATTTAGTTACGAGTGTGGATTCACAGGTAGAGGTAGACTTACAAAGAGACGGATGGATTGCGTGAAAGGTGACATGATCAAGATGGGAATGATGGTTGTGATGACGGATGAAAGAGTTATTTATAGGACGAATATTACGCCGACCCAATAGAAGTTGGATCAGGGGGGAGATGATTATTGTGTTTAATTATATTTATAAATGTTACATAGTAATGGCTGGTGCCTTATCAGAATATGTCAACGAACGTCATACTGCACCGTGGAAAGTACGATTCTATCCTAAGAAATCGGTGTTTAGAAAGTCAGAGCTCATTGATAGAGGTTGTACGGTTTTCCTCACTGACTGCCCAAGTAATTATAAGTAAGTATTTTTTCAATCATACCAATATTATAAATGCGATAGTTTAGATGGATGGATGTTTTTTAGCGTTTGTAGTCTAAACGGCTGAACCGATTTCGTTTGAATTTGGTGCAGATGTATAGTCTGGAAGATCACATCGCTCTCTTTTGTTTTTTTTTTAATTTCACGCGTATTGAGTCGGAAGCAAAAGCTATTTAATCAATAAAATAAAAATATGAGGTAAAATTGATTTATGCCCTTAATTCCAAAAATCCAGTTATCTAACTAATTTTTACAAGTGAAAACGAAAATTTAGATGAGTGTATAGGATTGTCTGGAACATATAGGCTACATTATTTTTTACTGTTAAGTGAATACTGATTTTATTTAAATTATTCAAAACATTTATTAAATTCGATATTTTATTTTTAGAAAGAAATTGGTTTGTGCTCGCCATTATGATGGTGAACTCAAAACATTCACAAATTATTGTGCATTGGAATACGAAAATTGTAATAGCTGGAGAAGTAAGTTGTGGTTATCTATTAAGCCAGTATTCTTAGCCGTTTACAGTATTGTTAGATTATCAAATTTCATATTTACACGATATACACACCGTTCTTACGGTGAAGGTAAATGTTGTGATCGCACATATCTGAGAAGAAATTCAAAGATATGTATCCAGCATTGGACCAGCGCAGTTGACAGCGTGGTCACACTAAGAACGCACACTCACATTTAACTAAAATATCGCAAGACTGTTTAGTCTCGCGTTGATTCCTATGTGCTTCTATGAGGTGCGCATACTACTTGATTTTCAGTTGTGTAACTAAACAGTTGAATCGGATGCGAAACAATCGACAATAGCACAACAGTTGTGCAAAAGTTTAGTCAGAGGTTAGCGCCCGTTGTTAGGTTTCGAGCTCTTCAGTGGGGTATATGATGATGCGTATTCTAATGAAATTTTATGTTGTTTTTGTTAAACCAATGCCGTATTTTTTCAGAATGGAGCTTGATTAAAGAAACTAGATGTTAATTAAAAGATTGTAAAATTAATATATGAAACGTTAGTTATTGTTTTAGTAAAGTAAATAAATTTATACAAATAAATAATTCTTTGGAAATAACAGGGGAAGACCGAAACAAGTATGGATGGATTGTGTGAAAGAGGATATGCTTAAGAAAGGAGTGCATTCAGATATGACGTCTGATAGAGATGTATGGAAGAGCAGCATATATTGTGCCGACCCTCTGTAAGGGATATGGGCAAGTGGATAATGAAATAATTCTTTGTATTAGAACTGAAGCATATATTAAACTTATTTAAACGCTAACACTTTCCCGTTCCATCATCATCCTTCAAATAATGCCACGACTCTGAAAAAAAAACAGTCCTATTAATATAATAAAAACAAAATTCTTTGTACGTTTAATTCCTCCTCACTATAGCCTTCACAAGAGACTTGTGTTTATTTAAAAGTAAATACTCATGTATAATGCAATTCAAAATTTGTAGACGCTCGGAATATGAAATGAAACATTACAGAAAGCATGATTTTAGACAGGACAGTAAAATGATGCATGGTATTTATTTATGCTAATGTTAACTCAAAAACTACTGGGCAGATTTTAAAAATTCCTTCACCGTTAGAAAGGTAATTCATCTGTAAGTAGCATAGGCCACATTTTCATTATTTTTTGAGTTCACGCGGCCGAAGCAACAGCTAATTATTCCTCAAGTGGGTACTCAACATCTAACTGCAGACTTTTATTTTTTGCCTGAGAAGATTGCATCTTACACATACTGCGCGCCCAAGGGGACGCGGAAGTTACGTGGTACTTTCCTCCCATAATTAGGGGCATACCCCCTACACCCCTCGGTTCCTCCAAAGCAGTAAGGGCACGCTATCGCTTACGTCCGCGACCCCCGCAACAAACTGCAGACATCTGTTATAATATTTGAATATGGTAATACCTGGAATCTCATCTTACCTACATTACTTTTGCAATTCCTATAGTGCATGTCACAGAATGTTGGGAATGCCTTCTTTGTTGCACTGGAGCCCTTTAAAGTTTTATCATTAACAGCACATATGGGTATTTTGCTGTAATAAAAGAAAGAGTTCTTTAGCTTGGCAGAATTTTACTTTTTCGAATATCATAATAATATTCATAGCACTTAACCTTGAAGACCCAAGGTGTCTAGAAAAAAAATATTAAAAAAAACTCTGATGTATCTCTACAGATTCACTAACAAGAAAAGGGTTAATTTCTCAGCCGACAGTTTTTCTAATTTGTTTTCAAAGTTTGGAAAAAATTGTTGAAGTCGAATTAAAAAGGGGAAAAAATTATGGTAAACGTATGAAAACTAAAGTTGTATTGTTTTATCTTGTGTGTCTGTTTGTCCGCAAGGACGCGTGAGTACCGGGTGATCTCCGGAACAGCTGTACCTTTCGAAGGGACTCTGAATGGTAGGTAGTTATACACGCGGGAATATAGGGTAATTTTTCATGTTCTGCGCTGATGAAGTTGCTGGCAACCGCTAGTTTGAAATAAGTGTATGATGTAACCGAAAAAGTAAAAGCATATGACTATTAATTAATCACCGCAATGAAATTCAACGCTAATGCAATTCTGCTTGTCTTGACAGCGTTTAAATAAATAATAATAATACTTTGGTCTTGTTTTTTATTGTTGATTTACTTCAAATTGTCCTTTCACCTTTAACACTACTCTATGTACTAGGATTAGTAAAAATAATGAACATTTTATTAGGGTTGTAACGGATGCGGATGCGGAGGTGAAGAGCTTCACCTTTATAGAAGTTGAGGTTAACGGAACCGGAAGCGGAGGTCAATAATAAAATATTAATTGCGATTTAACGATACCTAATCGCCCCACTCGCGTTAAGACGTAAATTAACCTCCTTTGCGGAGTTATGCATAAGAAATAACGGAAGTGGAAACGGATGCGGAGTTATCTTTTCTTGCGGAAGTTCCGTTACAACCCTAATTTTTATAACACATAATTGAATTCTCTTACAAAATCGTCATAGTGTAGCACTCCATCAGTTCTGTAGCACAATGAGATACTGAAGTTTCGATAGGAAATGTCTCCAATTGTGCTGGAATGGTCCAGAACTCCACCATAGGTTCGGTTGTTTCTGACGTCACATTAGACAGTAGATCTAATAGAACTGAAATGTTTAAAAAAATAAAATAAAAAAACAAACCCGACTTCCAAATCAAATACACTTACTTAAGCCTCGTTTATTGTAGCTTTAATGTCTATATTGAACAATTATTATTACTTTGATGTCGATGTCACCCAAGGTATGCAGTGATATTTCTACGTAAGGGTTTCTACATTTTTACAATAACAATTGACAATTGAATATATAGTAACGTTTAAGTAATGAATCTACATTGACTGACACCGAAGTATTATTATCGATTTCATTTTATTTTCGTTACTTACGTTTAAAATGACTTTTCATTAATCATACTTTTAATAATACTTCATACTTATATTATAAATGCGAAAGTTTAGATGGATGGATGGATGGATGTTTGTTAAAGTTTGTAGACTAAATTGCTGAACGCATTTCGTTGAAATTTGGTACAGATGTAGAAGATAGTCTGGAAGAACAAATAACCTATTCACTTTGTTTTTTTTAATACTACGCGGACAGAGTCGCGAGCGAAAGCTAGTACTTACATAATAAACAGAAGACAAAATTATATTTATACTTTATCATTATTATTCAAATGTCCTGAACTAAAAACACTCAATTTTATTCATCAATACAGACAAATGTCTTGGTTTAAACAGTATTTTCTAACATCATAATTGATTTTCACAAAGACAAGACAATTCCCATTTTTAATTGGATTTTTTTCAATTATACAATTTGATTCACATACTTGATAGTCTGATGGAAAATAGAATAGCTATAAATAAAGACAGTAACTAACAAAGTAAATTTTCATTTGGGTAATTAAACGGATTTTCGATAAACAATATATTTAATCTATGTTTCATGATTATAGGTAATGATTGTTTGAACTAATTTAGCTGTGCGACTGCGCGAGAGACGGCGTTGGGCTTCAAGGTCATATTACTCTCTTATCACCTCCTCGCGAATCCGACAACGTCTAGTCTGATTCTCAATCTCTCGTTGGTATTAAGGTGTAAGGAACATCATCATAAACATTTCAAAATCATCACCATCATCATCACCAGCTCACTATACGTCCCCACGGCAAAGGTGACTAGGACTTAGTCAACCACGCTGACCCAGTTTTTGTTGGTTGACTTCACCCATATCTTTGAATTTCTTCGCCGATCTGTGCAGGTCGCATGACGATGTTTTCCTTCACCGTAATTTATATACAAATGAAATTCGAAAAATCTAAAATCACATTGGTACTTGGTGGATTTGAACCCAAGACTTGTAGATTACAAGTCAAGTGCTTAAACCACTGGGCCAACAACACTCCATCTTTAAAATATCGATTGCAATAAATTAAATTCTGTTCTTAAAATATGAATAGAAGACACCTCGTTGTTTAAGTTTAAGAGCCTTAAGTTTAAGATCCCTAAAAGTAGGTCACTACTAACTAGGAATTAAGTCAAAACTGTACACAGTTACCATTTCCAATAAAATGATCGATCGAGCATCGGATCTCACAAATTCCTGTTACTAGCGTCGTCTGTTACTATCGAAAGTGTTCTTTGAACTCTGAATAATTATACTAGGATTCATTTTATTCACTTTATAGATTAAAATTTGACATTTTAACGAAGTTTGTTTTTTATAGTGGCCAGGTATCAGGATGAAAGCACTGAAATAATGAAGAAAAAACTTTATAAATTCAGCTTCCGCATTTGAATGGGAGAAAAAGTGAACAACGAAATGAACGTCGAATTCGAGAATATTCGAATGTTCCAAATGAGAAAACTCTGAAAGACGGTGCAAATAAAAGAGCAGAGTTTTTGTAATGTTTTCTTGCATAGAATTAAGGCATTGTTGAATACTCCTTCAAACATAATTACAAATAATGACCAATTTTATTAATGATTACTTAAATATAAGGGTCCCTTAACCATCATCTAGTGAGCCTTTAGAAATTACTTCCTTTTAACTTTTGTTTAAGTGTAAGTAAGCCCTTAAACAAAGTAATACCTATTTATTTATACTTTAGGGCCTTTTAAAACTCCTTCGTCGACCTTAAAGAAAAACTAGGGATTTCCATGGTCGTATTTTGTTTTTTTTTTTCATTTTTTTTGTTATAAATTAACACTGAAAATTTTCTTTCGGTTTATATGATTCGTAATGAGTGAGAAAGGAAAATTTATATTCAATAAGGTTCTTGGTGGCCGAAATTTGTGTTGATTTCTTTTTAAATTTTCTAATAATCCATCATTTATACTCTATAGAAAAGCGTCGTTCGTAGAATTAAAAATGAGCGGGAAATTTTTTTATCAATAGATAGTTAGGCCTATTTTTTCAGTCGATATCTGAAAATATCTGAGTTAAGAAGTTTTTATGGTTAAAAAACTTTTTTGAGAACCCTTATTGTATTATAATGTAAAATATTATTCTTTCACATCAAAATTTAGGAAAAAAATGTAATAAAATGTCGTTTTTCTATAGTGTGTCTAAATAATTTAAATTAGTTTGACAATTCTTTTGAAATTTAGTAGGGATGGGTTGTGTAAAATCAGTCATGAATGTTATCGATTTTCGATTTTTATTGTTATAGAAGTTGGAATCGATAGATTTATAGTTATATATAATATCGATAGTTCATAATTGTTCGCTATGCGTGTTTGTTTCGTCACTACGGTACCTGTCTATTAAGTACGGCATTTGCCTTCACACAAATTGAATTCAATACTTCATACGCGTCATTTATCAAACTAATCTATCTTATTTAGACAAACTATAAATATACAAATTTATGTGAAAAAGGTCAAATTTAAACAATGATAATTCAAGTGAATTTAACTTCGAAATGTCTGTTTAAATTTCGTTACCTAAAGTAACAAAAACTATGTTAATGCAAAACTAACGTAGCCCGACAATTCAAGTTCCATTAGCAAATCCCATGCGGTCAGAACTTAACTAGTTTAAGTTAACTTAGCTTAACATACAACTTCCTGTGTTGATAACATTTAGTTATTGTTTTATGTAACTTGATAGTTTTACTTTATTGCGCGGGTTACAATAATTGTACAAGATTACACGTTTTCGAATTAAGTGTGGAATGTGTAAGCTGTCGAATTGTCATCATCATCATCATCATAATCATCATCATCACCATCATCATTTTGATTTATGATGAACGTAAGAGTTCTAATGCTGATATGTTTTATTCATTTTATATACTACTGGCTGTTTCCTTGCGACTTCATCCGCATAAAATTATGAAAATTTCATTTTATTGTTCATCACCAACTCACTATATGTCCCCACCAAGGGGCTCGGAGCCTACCCTAATACGGGGTGACTAGGCCATAGTAGTAGCCATAGTATTTTATTGTTCACATTTGTCAAATTATCAATTGCAAATGTCAAAATGACATGACATGATGTCAAACCAACGCAACTATGCTTCCTTGATGTTGGCAACAACTTATGGTCTTTTTCCCATATTAGGGTTTTTTATCCAAAATATTTACCTCTAAGTTTAATAGCGTTAAAATATATAGCCTAAAGCGTGGCGCAAGTGTAGGGATTTTTATTAAAAAAAGAATTATTCAAAAATATGCTGTAATTGCTGACATCTTAGGCAACAAAGAAATGTATGTTTACGCTTTATTATAATAGTATAGATACCCATAAGAACTTAGATGTTGTTGAGTAAAGTAGATATAGTTTTTTTATCTATTTACTTTAAATTGAAGTATATAAGTAACCAATTCAACTTTTCAAATTATTATTTGACTAGAAACGATTCGTTAGAATAGATGTTTATTCAAGGGTTCAAATTTCGTGCGTTGGATAAAGTTAGTTAAAGTTTTTCAATATAATGGAAATCGATGTTGAGTTTTAAATAATTTGTCGAATTGCGTTTGATATTAATATAACAGTATTTATCTGATTTAAAAACTTAGCATTCTTTGGAGTTACTGTTGCCTTATTCATTTGTTTTTTTCTTTCTTTTAATCCAGATAGAAAAAAATGACAAAAATTAATGATGTTTTTAAAAAACATTTTTCCTTATATGTCATCTTGTAAGTTTCAAAGCAATGAACGATTTGCTAAGACTTTTAAATTCATTGTGTTCAATCAAATGTTACTATCTAAGGGGAACATTAAAATGTTCACTAATTAATGAACTAAATGACAATCTGTAAGCGTCGGCACAATAAAGAAAATTCAACTATCTTTAAATCCGCAGAGATACTCCACACAGAGGCCCACAGAGTGTTCTCGACCTATTTACGGAACCGAATAAGGGGGAAAAAGTACAACTTTTATCTATTTTTGATCTACGTCTTGATTAGTTGATATCAGGTGGAACTGATTTTGTGTCATACCTAGTGCTCTTTTAGATTAAACAATGTGGAAGTTTTGTTTTTATATACTGACTAGACTAATTAAAAGAATGATTTATTAAGGACCTATGACTAAGTAAGGGTTGCAGGAGGGACTGGACAAGCCTCTGGATAGGGAGAGACAGGACAGGGTATCGTTTTAATTGATGGAGAAGGCACCTTCAGCAGTTGACCACCTTAGGCAAATTTTGATGACCTAGAAGAGTGGTGTTTCGTAATATCTGTTACGATCACCTGCATTCTTACGGTCCAACCAAGTAATCCCCTTTGCAATTTTTTAATGAACTGTTTTTTAGTAGAAACGAGGGCAAACGAGTGGAGGGATCACAGAGATGATCTGCTCGTGGATATCCACAACAACGGTGGAACTACAGATGCGTTGCCGGCCTTTGAGGAAACGGAAGGCTCGTTTCTTGAAGGACCCTAAGTTTGGACCCTAAGAATATAAGAACCAACGAAGCAGTTTAAGAACCTTATTAGGTAAATTTACTTTACATTATATATTTGACTATGAAAGTCAACTCACTCCTAAATTTCTCCAATAGTTGAAAACTTTTGTACGATATGAAATATTTTATGATTTGTACGAATTCAATTTGTTTTTTGGACCTGTTCCAGTAAAGTTTTCAGTTTTGATTCATGTAGAAGTATATCATTTTTATTGTAATAAAAGGTATATTTCATTGTTTAAGTTTTCATAAAACTCAATAGATCTCGGTAAAATTTGGTATATCTAGTAGAACTTAGTCTGGATGAACACATAGGTTACTAATTAGGTGTTTTCACCCAATCTCTATTGGGTGTAATAAATTTATAGATATACATACCTGTCATAGAATATAGGTAGATTATAGAATATTCCCGAAGGAATCTTTTTTTCGCTATCCTCATCTATATTTGAACTAGATGTTCCCGTGCGATTTCATCAGCATAAAATTATTTAATTGTTTACATGTGACAAATCGTCAATTGCTAACGTCAAAATGACATGACATAAAAAAACTTAGCAATCATGCTTTCTTGATGTTGGCAGCAATTTATGGTGTCTTTCTCATATTAGGTTTTTATCCAAAATATTTACCCTTATTGGTGTGAAAATATATAGCCTAAAGCGTGACGTAAGTGTAGGGCTTTTTATTAAAACAAGAATTATTCAAAAATATGCTGTAATTGCTGACATCGGGCAACAAAGAAGTGTGTGTTTACGCTTTATTATAATAGTCTAGAAGTAAGGAAAATGTATATTTCATTGTTTAAGTTTTGATATAACTCATAAATCTCGATAAAATTAGGTATAGAACATAGTCTGAAAGAACACATAGGTTACTAATTAGGTGATTTTAGAGCTTGTGTATATGTGTGAATATATTTATAGATATACCCGTCATAGAATATAAGTATAGATGTTATAGGTAGATTATAGAATACCCTTGAAGGAATTTTTTGTCCCTTATTCGTCGATACTATTCCTCGTTTATATTTGAATGTCTTTGTAAAGTATGTAAGAAATGGGTGTCTGTCGCCAATAAACTGTTTATCATTCGTAAACTATTGTATATTTTTTTCTTATGTAAAAAAATAACTAAAAAATTAATCCGAACTAACCAGTCAACTTGAAGAACTCGGCATCAAGCAGCGTCTGTCTTCCATTGTTCGGGCTCGGATACACACTTTTTTTGTTCACGTCTGCAGACGTAAGGACGAGAACGCTAGATAGTACAGGGTAAGGTGGAGGGCACCAGACCTAGGGGAAGATCGCCTATGAGATGGACTGACCAGATTAGAACGGCTATGGACGTACCCTTATATCAATGTGCGAAAAAAGCAGCGTACAGGGAGGAGTGGTGGCGTCTTGTGAAGCGGGACACTGATACGTGATAACCACGATGAGTCTGTATAGACTCAAGCTACAAAGAAGAAAAAAAAATAACAGATAGCTTATTTATTAATACATAACTTACTAGTTAATTAAAAAAGTAAACGCCTCATTATGTAAACAAGAGCCTTAAGCGTCCAATTATGTACATGTTAATACACAAACAAATTTCCAAGCTTATAAATGTTGCGCGCTGCGTAACAAATTAACTGAGGCTTACGAGATTTTCCTTATTAATTATTTAAGTATCACTAAACGAGGGATTTTATTATAGTAGATACAATGTACAGTGTTACAAATATATTTTGACTTAAACAGAAAATAAAAAAAAAGTTGGTTTATAGAAAACTAGCTTTCGCCCGCGACTCCATCCGCGTGGAATTAAAAAAAAAAACTGAGTAGCCTATGTGTTCTTCCAGACTATCCTCTACGTCTATGCTAAATTTCATCAAAATGCGTTCAGCCGTTTAGGCTACAAACTCTAACAACATCCATCCATCTAAACTTTGGCATTTTTAATATAATTATGATTGGAACGGTATTTTTTTTTAATTCTATTTTGTATGCAATAAAATTATAGTTATTTCAAAATAGTTTTCTTTTTGTTTATCTCTTAATGTCTTTTTTCATTTAGATTTTCGATAGCCGCGCGGCTAAACTCTAAGTGGAAATGTAGATTATAAAATCTAAGCTGATAAGGTGGTGTTTATTTAGAAAAAAAAATGCAGTATCATTATCACAATTTTATTATAAACAGAAAGTGTAACAATTAAGTATGCTTAAATATTATCATAGGCTAATATTCATACTCTACGTTTTGGGCTCATAAAAACGTAGAGTAGAGTATTATTATAACTAAACTATATTTACAAAGAAATTGCATAGAATCAGTTATTAAAAAAAATTATGCTAACAATTTTACTTTACAATTTTACACTACTTTATAGCAGAAACAACAACACGCCGTACACTGTACACACTTTGAATTGACGTCGAAAATAGTTCAAATGCTTTGCATTTCAATAGCACTTTCATGCTATTTGAAACAGCTCTTTAGTCAGAAAATTTGCGAGCACTGAGATGTCTTAGTGTTCGCCGTAACAGTATGTTCAATTTGAGCTAGCGCGGTCAACTCAGTATCCATTTTTCTATTTTTAATCCTCGTGTCTTTTATTATCTGTCGCTTCTTGCAGCAGCAGAGTATCTCTTCGAATTCCTTTCTAAAGTTATCATTTAACCAACCGTATAACAATGGATTGGAGACAGCGCTTGACATTCCGAACATGTGACAAACGGCATAAGTAATCGTCATTGATTTCTCTTCCAATATCGGTTCTGTACTAAAATCTGCTACCAAATTAAACACGTTCAAAGGTAGCCAACTAATAACGTATGTAACAGCGATAGCTATTAAGATAGCTGGTGTCTTTCTTGTCGTTCGTCTACGTCCACGTAATCTCCTATGTATTTGTACATGTGCCATAATAACAACTAAAACTGGAAGTAAATATTGTAATATTAAACTAAATAGGGAGTATATCGCCCGTCCGTTTGACATCGGCCAGTCTTCGATACAGAAACTCAGTGAATCCATATCCTTAAGTCCTATGTTATGAGTTTTGAGACTTCTGAAGATGTAGAGAGGCGATGCGAGGCAGAATGCGGTGACCCAGATGCAAAGCATTGTGACAAGAGCACCCATTGTCTGGAGGCCGGGCCGCGTTGGGTACACGATCAGCTGGAAACAAAATAATATGTTACAAATTTTAAATTCGATACGACTAATCGCCGGATTCCTAGTTACATTTAACAATTTGTTAGTGTTTTCGGTTTGACAAATTCACGAAATGCGTTTCTGTTTTACTCCGTTGAAACTCAGATGAACCTAAGACTAATAAAATGGTTCATTAGGTAACGACAAAATAAGTGAAAACTTTAGAAACTCGGAATAAACACAGCCGAATAATGAATGTTAAAATTATTGCAACAAAACAATGCACTATACATTTTTTTGCATTCTTATCAATTTACGTATAGTTCATTTAGTTAATTACGATAGGCCCTCGAGAGATGCGTGATAAAGCTAGAGTTCATATTAAATCAATAACGTTTGTAACTATAGATTACATTATCTATTACTTCAATACGATGTAATCGTTTGGTGTTACGGTAAAATTGCAAACATCGATCATTTATAAATTTACTAGCGATATAAAAATAGTTAATAGAAAAGCAAACAAAGTATAATTAACCGTATTCTTTCTCAATAAGTATGAATTCTAATTAAAAAAATCTATTAATCTATACTAATATTATGAAGAGGAAAAATTTGTTTGTTTGTTTGTAATGAATAGGTTCAAAAAGTACTGAGTCGATTTTAAAAATTCATTCACCGTTAGAAAGGTAATTTATCTGTCAGTAACATAGGCTAGATTATTTCAGTTCTTTATTGTTATTTTTAAATTTCACACGGACGGAGTCGGGGGCAAAAGCTAGAAAACTATAAAAATAATTGTCCTAACTCAGGAACATATGGACATTGTTTATATTGTTTAATTTCTTCAAACAATTTTGTAGACAACAAATATTAATTATTATCAATCAATACTAAGTTAAAGTTAAAGTAAAATAGAACAGAAATATTTCTGATACATACAAGAAATATCAAGGGGATAAAATGATATCGAAGTTATTGCTTTGTCAGAGACAAATGTGGTTTCTCGATACTTCACACATTGTACTAAAGTAAGATTTATTCGATAAGATTTATATGCAGGATTGAAATCCAGAGATAAGTATAACGATTTGAATATTGTAAATAATAAATATGTAATATCTGTTTGAATTGTCTTAATTTTCTACTAAAAATGTGTCCCATGAAAAGATTGAAGTAATATTAACTATGACGCCTGTAGAATAATCATAGCAAATATTCAATTAAGTAATTTTATTTATTCAATTTCATGATTAAAATTAAATTAGCATTATATATGATTTTCTATCCATTTAAATATTAACATAGTAACCACTTAGTAACATGTTTGATTATTATTTAATACAATCTTCAAATAAGACAAGCTCACAAGATGACGTCAAAAACAAAATCAACACCGTGTCCTATTTCCAGAAATATTGAGTGAAGTGTAAACAGTTTAACGCATATGTTTAGATTGTTTAAGTAGCGAACTATATTTGAGAAGAGAACTCATGCTCATAATAAACTTAAATTTTAGGGAAACCGTGAGTTTCCACTGCTGAAACATGTGTGCAAAGCTTACTAACATCCCTTTCATTTTCATGGGAGAATCTGAGATAGCAGTATATTTTATGTAGTGATTCGTGTGAATATTTATACTAATAGTGATCAGGACAACACAATAATGTAATTATACTCGTCATAATTAAAAAAATAATTTTAAAATTAAATATCATTGTCCATCAAAATTGTATCAAATAATTTGAAAACGGTTAAAACTTGACAAAAAAGTTTCGTTAAATGTCACAACGTGCTATAGTCCTACAAGAATCTTATGGCAGTTGGTAAATTTGTGAACTAACCATGTCATTTTACAAACGTCACACTTTGATCGATGAGTGAGCGGCTGCACTGAAAGTTTTTATTTTTAATGTTGAAATATTATAGTCTGCGTTTGCTTTCAACATGGGCGAATTTCAAAAGTTGGGAAATTTTTGCTTACTGGTAACTCTAAAGACTAGGAGGCGCCCCCTTGTCAAAGTCAAAGAAATGCCATAAGATCCTTGTAGGTTTGTAGCACGTTGCGGCACTATAAAAAAACATACCTGATACCTATCCAAGGCAATAGCGGTAATTGAAATAGTTGAAACGAATATTGATATAGCTTGAATTGCTCCACACGCTTTGCATAAACTCGGCCAATCTGGTAGCGGCCAATGTTTCGTCAAAAGTTCCATCAGCGTCAAAGGTGTTCCAACACAACACACCAATGCATCTGAGACAGCCAAGTTGACGATAAACATGTTTCTTGCTGTCCTCATCACGGGTTTCCTGACAACCTGTAAATAAAAAAAAATTGAACTTTTAGCGATCGAAGCTTCGGTTACCAATCTTACTAACATAGTACTCCATCCACAAACACATTTATAATATTAGTAACAACTAATATTATAAATAAATGTTTAGATGGATGGAGTTTGTAGCCTAAACTGAACAGATGACGATGAAGTGTAACACAGATGTAGAAACCTGTCTGGAAGAATATATAGGCTACTTTCTTTTGTTTTTACAAAAGATTAACCAAAGTTTAATTTTAATTCCAAATTAATTCTCTGTTATTTGACTCTGTCTATGTAAACGCAGCCTTATAGGTACTAGCACTTTAAATAATAAGTATTATTATATATTTCATTTTAACAATTTCTACGCCAACAACAAAACTGAATTATTAATCTAATTGAAATGTTTCAAACAATACCTTTCA